GACATTCCAGATAATGACGATTTAGAACGAATGCGCCATATGTATTATTTTATCTAAAGGTAGTCGTTGGGGAAACGTTCAGTATTAAAGAGACTTATATGACATGTTATTGCTGTATTAACATAGGTAATAGATCTATCTGACTTACCCCTATGCCAATTACATCAAATATATCATTCTTTTGTGGACATGTACACATTCATAACTAACTTAACACATTTAAACTTATTAATAATTCTCCCAGGGCGACCGATGAGCCGGACGAGGATATCCTTGACTTTTGTGGTGAGGACATAAACTTCGACCAAGATGCTACGTCTGAGACGCCAACCACCCTGGAAGTGGTTTTTTTTCTGGAGCGGAACGGAGTGCCCGGCATGCGCTGAAAACGAGATCTTTTTAATATACATGCATTCGACAGGCACTGGTTTATGCACCATCCTCAACACTTGACTTATTTCACCCGTCAAACCTGGAGAGTAGTGAGTGAGTGAGTGAGTGAGTTGGGTTTAACGCCGCTTTTAACAATATTCCAGTTATATCGCGGCGTGTCAGCTTAATGTGGGAGGAAAGCCCGAAGTGATGCAGGTCTAAGAGGTTTACCACTTCGGTGAAACCCACGAGCACGGGTATGGTGCTGACAAACCTAGAAACATAATCGGGGCGAACCGGGATTCGAACCCATAATCATAGGTTTCTGGCGTGCCCAAGGGACGCAACTCTGCACAGCGAATCGCGGCGCCTTAGACGACTGGGCCACCCGTGTCCCCCCCCCCCCCCCCCCCCCGGAGAGTATATACCAAGGGCTGAGCTTACTACGTTCAGCACTGGAGAGGCAGCTCCGGAGCCCAGACCCGAGAGCCGACCAGATGGCAGACCAGTCCACACAGTGGGATGTGGCTTACGACAGGGCCCAACTGGAAATTCAGAGGCTCAGACAGAGCAGTTGAGGTTGAGCAACTCCATCGACGTCTTGCCAAAGCAACTCCCTCATGGCCTACTGCAGCTGACATTCCGCTGTCAAGACCAGCTCTCGTCGATTTCATTCATTCTGGCAGGGAGGCCCTTTCTGTTCTTTACATGGCCAAAAATCGAATGTTCATCGAATAGCTAAACGTGAGATGATAAGCGAATGCATATATCCGGGAGCCTGCAACACAAGTGAGACAGAGAGTATCGGATGAACACTGGAATTGTCTCAGAGATTGTGTATATTAGACTTGTGACTAGAATGTTTTGTTGTTGTGTATTGTAATTCATGGATATTCTTGTGAAAATGTAAGTATAAATAGTATGTATACTGGTAAGAGTTTTCACTGTGACTAATATAAAATGTATTAGACCTATATTCCTTAATATTATATTGTTGTATAATATCAGTTGTATTAGACCTTTATCCCCAATTATTAAATTGTTGTTTAACTTGCTGGCGTGTTAAATTCAAAAGGGGGAATATTGTAATGTATAACCTAATTATCAGGTTATCAGACTAATTATTTGTATAAAGAATGAATTGAAATTCACATAAATCTTCTGCTTGTGTGATTTAGTGATAATGTTTTCCATTAGGCATTTCGGTCATGATTTGTCATAGAATTATTGAGTAAACTGTGCTGTTATGTTTTAGTCTGGGAGAGAGATCAATAACCTAAATTTACCCCAAAGATTGCGCTACCAGTCGACAAACATCCCGATTTCCCCTTGAACCGACACAATATATATGTACATTATATATATATTTATATTGTTGGGGGAACGAAGGACAATATCAGCATAATTTATTACAACACTTTATAATAAAGACACAACAGTTATATACTGAACCAAATTAAAAACTTCACAATCCTAAAATTTTAACATTTTGACCAGTGATCATTGTGGGCCTTTATTGGGTATTTTAACAGTAATGGCCACGTATTGTCTTCAGATGACACCCGTTTTTGTGCAGGTGAATCGATCATAATCATGTGCACAGCACTTTAGTGGCAAAACTTTTTAACGTGCAACTGGTCACGTGGCCATAATACCGTACGTGTTTTCAGCCATACCTGTTAGCAGTCATTAACAAAAAAAGAAAAACACAAGAAAACAAAAGTCTTTATGGCCATTTGTCATGCCACGCCTTTCAAATGTGCAACGTGAACGTGCCATCGGCATAGCTGAAGTCGCAAGGACGATGGGTTGTAGTCGACGGACTGTTTATGATTTACAGACGCGTCTACAGCAAACGGGTACCACCGCAGATCGCCTTCGGCCAGGTCGACCACGTGTGACGTCACATGCAGAGGATCGTCAGATTGTCTTACGTCACCTCCGTAACCGATTTTTGACGGCTACATCAACCAGAAATGAACTGTTTAGGGGTAGGCTGAGTGCACAAACTGTTCGAAACCGTCTGAGGACTGCTCACCTTCAAGCACGACGGTCATACTGCGGGCCGATTCTGACTCAATTACACAGACGTCAACGTCAACGTCAATTGTGGGCACAGCGACACTTACGATGGACTTACGAATCAAGTCGTCTTCAGTGATGAATCCCGATTTAATCTTCGATTTGCTGATGGTAGGGCGAGGGTGGAGGCGCCGTCATGAACGTTACGCCCAGTGTTGTGTACAGGGAGTTGACAGATTTCGAGGCGGAAGTGTCATGGTGTGGGGTGCTTTCGCTGGCAATGCATGTTCCAGGCTTCTTGTCATCCGTGGCAACCTCAACGCTGCTGCTTACCGCGACCAGGTACTGGCACCAGAAATTCTGCCTTTTATGGCAGCACATGGACCCGATTTGATCTTCCAACACGACAATGCCAGACCCCACACAACAATTTTGACAAGGAGTTTCCTTCAGAATGCGGGAGTCAACGTCAGGGACTGGCCGTCAAGGTCTCCTGACCTCAATCCCATCGAAAACGTCTGGGATGCTCTGGGCAGACGTCTGCGCACTCTCCAGAACCAACCACAGAACTTGCAAGATCTTGGCACCATTTTGCAGCAACAATGGTGTCGTCTTCCCAATCATGTGTTCACAAGCATCACAAGGTCCATGCGGAGGCGTTGTGTGGCAGTTGTCAACGCACATGGTGGCCATACACGTTACTGAACTTGTGTGCCATCAGATTCTCATGATTGGTACTTATGATTTAAACTGTTGATGTTATTACCGAATACCGTAGGTGCTTGGAACTAATTATGGTTACCACCGTTAATTAAAATCCTTCTTTTGACATTAATGATTAAAAATTTCCTCCTCTGATACATTTGTCCGTTGTATATCATATATGGGATTACTTTTAAAAATGCACAGCCACAAAACTGATTAAAGTTGACAAGTAACCAAATAACAGTGAAAAGTACAAAATGTTTTGGAAATGTCTGGAAAAAATCTGTAAGTGTCTCTCTTTGTCGTACAGAGCACTGCAGATTCAATTCGGAGCGATATGCCCCTTAGCTGCTGCTGGTCGTGGGTTTGACTCCCAGAATTAACCTGCTTTGATCCGTGGTCTAACAACACTTTTGCCAAAGATATGGAGGGATTTTGACACCAGTCTCATATAAGTCTTATTTTGGCTGGTCAAAACGTTCCTTACAGATGCTATTGTTTGAGTCGAAACGAGTTCAGGCTGGACCTTTCTTCATATTTGAGGGCAGATGATGAGAATAAGGTGGGTACAGAAATAGTTCAAAGCCACACTCAAGGCTTGTAGCCAAAGCAATGTCTGGTTTGTGCACTAACGCATTGTCCTGGTGGAAAAGCACACGTTCTCTCAGCTTCCCGCATCTCATAGTTTATATGTCGCCCGTGATTGCCTGAAAAACATGCTGAAAAATATGCTCTGTTTATTGTCTGGCTTTTTGGAAGATAAGTTCACCAAGATGACAATCTCGGCATCCCACGGAGGCCGTAACCTTTCCAGCCTTCATTGGTGGTGGTAATGGTAAATGCTTCCACTGCATTGATTGTTGTTTGGACTTCATCCATATTTAAAAAATCAGGCCAGAGATACAGAAACAACTCTCGTCTGAGAAGAGGACACTTCTCCACTGCTGGTGGCGCCAATGCTGGTGCTGTGTTGCCCACTGAAGACGGTCCCGGCGATGAAGTGGTGTCAGAATGGGTCCTTGGTGTGGCCTGTGACAGTGGAGGTGTTTGCTCGTTAATCGTCGACGCACGGTGTCCGCACTAATGTGTCGCTGGTATGTCCCATTCGTCGAGCAGTTTCCGCAGCAATAACAAAGAAATCTTGAAGATGCTGTCGCACAATCTGACGAACCTGACGTCGGTTGGTGACCCTTGGTCTTCCAGTATGTGGTCGGTCATCTGTAGTTTTGGTGTTCTGGTACCGCTGCTGGAGCCTGTTTATGGTCCTTACGAGGACTTGAAATGCATTGGCTTTTTGCCGGGAGGTTTGTCCAGCTTGAAATCGTCCAAGGGCTTAGTGTCGCTGATGTCTTGTCAGGCTTGGCATGTGGTAGCAATTAAATAACGAATGAATGTTATCCAATCTGGGTGGATTTTTATAGGGCAAGAAATGGGGGAACGCATGTGCATTTCAATTTGCACGAAACTCTCGTGAATCGGGTAAACATGGCCGTTGCCGTGATGCGTTTAGGCGATCGGTTTTCTTGTCATCTGCTTTGTTTTTATATCATCATATTTCATTTTTCCGGAAAAGGTAATGTTGATTTTTAAGAACTTTTACAAAAATTACCCATACATTTCAATGACAACTTTTCATGCAATGTTACTTGGGGTGATGCTTCTTTTGCGGTTCAGTATACATGACCACTGCACTTTCCTCAAAGTTTTTCCATTTGCCAAAAGTCATAAACCGCTGTGTCACAGCGATACCTCTACCAAATTCCATCATGTACAATCATGCCATTGATCACAGAATGAATAATTACTGAAGGAATCACTGTCAAAACCTCATTTAAAATGCAAATAAGTCCCTCCATCCACTAGTCGGGGGATCGGATGTAGAGTTCAGGACGAATGCTGTCTTACACACAAAACACCAACAGGGACACCAGAGCCAGAAGCACAAAGACCCCGAACAATATGTGATCTGCGCGGCGGACCTTTGACGCAGTCTTCTCATGCGGACGTTCAGTTCCGTCCGTGTTTCCATTGTCGTTTGATGGCTGTAGGAGACTAGTGTTGCGGACATTGTTGCGGAGTGTGGCCATGGTGGTGATGATAGCCAGGCAGCTTTGACAGAGGATGAGGGTCAGATACACAGACAGTCGACACACGTCTCCAGACTTAGGGATTGAGTCTTTGACGAAGTTCATAAACACTGCATAGGACACAAATATTGAGATGAGGTAGGACATCTTCTCTCCGGAGTCAGCTGGTAGGAGGAACACACAGGCGTTGAGCAGAGAGAGAAGAGCCATAGGAAAGATGATACTCACTATATAGAACATGCTCTTGCGTTTCAGAAAAAACTCAAATGATACCAAACTTGATATCTGTTCCGTTTGGACGTCTACAACCTTGGCGTGTATGTCAGCCAACTCCCATTCACTGTTGTCAATGAAGAAAGGCGGTAATCTCGTAATAATAGAACCACTCATATGAACTCCAAGTTTGTAATCATTTGCAGGCATGAACAGGATGCTGCATCGCTGCTGATCAAACGGGTACAGAGTGATGTCTATTTGGCAACTGGTCTTGAGGCTCTCAAGGAACGGAAGTCTTGCGATTCCAGTATTGGAAACCACCGGAGATCGATCTAAAGCCAACGAAACGCTGCCGATACCATTAGGAATCGCTATGGCAGGTATCCATACAAACTTCTCAGAGATGGCCACTTTCGTAATATTATCATAGTCAGTTTTGTTCCAAGCCAGATTGCGGTCGAACCATGTTATTGAGAAGCCGGCATTGAAGGTGAATGTCTGCTCGGCAGCATTGAGATTGGAGATGGACATTGGCAACATACTTATGTTAACCTGTTTCTGATCAAAGAGTTCAACACTGATGCCAACTTTAGAATCCCCTTGGAGACGTATTTTCAGTTTTTCTAATGGCGTTCTCTTAAGGGAGCCTGCGCATGATGATATGGCGAGTAAGTAGAGGGTTTTAGCCAACATGTAAAACATGATTTCAATGTACAGTGGTGATTATCACAATGACTCATGTTGTCACACAGGTGTTTATCCAGTTAGGCAGTTGCTTAATTTATTATAATGACCTCGTGAATAGGAATATGAGCCAATGCGGATCGGCTAAATGGGCAATTAACAGTGCCAGCAAACATGAGCACATCAGTTAGTGAATGTTTATGTAAGCGCTTTATAAACACATGTTTATTGATATTTCTCTGTAAAACCTGTCCCCATCTTTCATAAGCAGACAAGGAGCGAGAGCTATTATTGAATATCGCATCACCCAGTTATTTGCATAAACTTGAAATTGTAACACCAACAGATAATGCCATGGAAATAATCTTATATAAATATTCAGTAATTCTTAATCATCGTTAATGAATTGTTTCGTGACACGTACTGTATGCATATGTGCATCAAGCAATTCAGAACAAACAATACAAAATATTTGATCAGTCAGAAACTCAAGAGAATATTTTTTTATGCAGTTTCAGAAAATATCAAGAAAAAGGGGAGTTATTCGCTTGAGAAAAGAGGATTGTTTCAATTTGGAAGTCAACACAAAAAATGGCAGATGTCAAGCATAAAATATCCCCTTGAACAACATGTTTTTTTGGTTTGGTTTGGTTTGTTGTTGAACGCCGCACTCGGCAATATTCCAGCTATATGACGGCGGTCTATAAAATAATCGAGTCTGGACCAGACAATCCAGTGATTGATATCATGAGCAGAGAGAGAGAGAGAGATATTTACCATCCCCAAAAACACAAGCGTGATAACCTCTTTATCATATAATGTCATTCTTTAATTCTGTGCTTGAAAATCGTTTTCCTTCTCTCACAAACATTACCGAAACGAGTTTTCCTTGAATGCGCGCATTAATATTTATTACGTCACAGGGAAAGTGATGTGTCAGTTGGACAGTGACAGTAGCCAATATAGTTCCAACTAAAATCTGTTTCTTATACAGTGGCGAAGCAACATATACGAAAAAAAAAAAAAAATTCCCTTGCATTTCGCGGCAATCCATTAGTCTATCCGCTAGAGTAACTGCCCTTAGTCAAAGGGAAGCTACTCTAACCCTAGTCTATGAGACGTCACGGCCACGTTCAGACGTTGTTGACAGTCGGCCTGTCCAGTTAAAACGTTAAGAAGTGCAATCAGATGTTCACACAGCGACAAAACGAAACATGGTACCAATTCAAACATATTTCGGCCAAATCCAACTATTTTAATTTGTGGAAAAGGTTTCAAGCCGCAGAGGTCTACAAGCACATGTATGGCTACTGATCCCGCTTGGCTAGGCCTAGTGCCCTCGGAAAATTGTTTCTAAATATATATCTCCAAAGTTGCTCAAACTTATAAAATGCCTGATCGACGTGACAGTTGGACACTGATTTTAAGTATATTAGACTGTTCTTTTGATAATGATAGCAATCATCTCAGTAGTTTATCGAGATTCCCGATGGTTAATATATATATATATATGCTTGTCAAAACTCCTTTATCAACACAAGATCTTTTGCCGTTCAAAGGCTCGTCAGGTGTAATGAAAACTTAACTTACATTGTAGTCCTAGGCGACGCATAACAGTCGTATTTGTGGCGTCATAATACCTATGATGTAATAGTGACAATACCTTTGACGTGAAACGTTTGTATACTAATATACCCAATGATCTAGGACTTCAAGTGGTGTAATGTAGTCCTAATTGTGTGTGATTGTGTGTGTGTGTGTGTGTGTGTGTGTGTGTGTGTGTGTGTGTGTGTGTGTGTGTGTGTGTGTGTGTGTGTGTCTGTGTGATTATCTCCTTTAGCAGTATGTAGTATGAAACTTTATCACGCATTGACCTTGCAATGCTGCACATCGTATCTTATTCAAGCTGTATCTGGTGGAATAAAATCATAACTGAGATTGTTAGTGGCTGTATCTTCACAGGGGGTTGAAGTATCGTAAAACAATTGTCCCCCTGGGAAGGTACATGTACGTAAGTCCGGTATCATTCAACGTATCTTTTCATTTCTCTGTGATTTTAATCTTGGCTTAGACACTCGCCCAGCGCACACGTCCTCCCAAGCTCTCCAAACCTCCAAGCTGATAATGAGAGACCTCTCAAAGTCACTCCCGAGGGAGCTTGTCTCCATCCTGGAGCCCTTGCTGGCTTACCGGGTTGGGGACTACTCCCTCAGGACTTCCTACAAGTCCAATACCTCCACCCTCTCCATCTCCTTTGACCTCGGACAAAGGAAGAGACCTCTGGTCAAAGCTAAGGCCAAGACCAAGCCTCAGGAGAAACCCACCCCGGCCCCTACCCTTGCTGCACCACGCCCGCTACAGAAGGCTAGGCCTCCTAGGGTAAAGAAGGCTCAACCAGTCTCTGTGATGGAGACATGGAAGGTAGAAGAGGAAGAGGAGCGAGATCTCCTCCCCGGCACTCCTCCACGCCCTATTCCAACGCCAACCAAGGCGATGGAAACACAAACCAGCAAAGCGCCAGCCAAAACCACGGAAACACAGACCGCCACAACACCAGGCCCCTCCCTCAACACCAGCCAAGTCCAGACTGACCCGGTCCAGGAACCAGTTGTTGAAGAGGACATCCGTGTAGAGCTCTCCCAGCAGGCCAGCCTCATCCTGGAGCAGCACAAGGTTCACCCAAACCCCTGCTACCAGAACGACAGCGGCAAGGTGTACCCAAAGAACCGCCCACGCTGTCCTTCGACGACAGGTCTTAATATATTATATAAATACATAACTTGCTCAAGTCATGATATGGCTGAAATAATGCTGATGTGACTTTATTAATGAATATTAACTCACTCACTCATTCACTCAAGCTGTATCACTGAGAGAGTGATTATCTCCCTCACCCGAACAGAGATATTGTGAACTACCTTTGCAATGTATCGTATGTTATTCAGGCAGCCATCAAGAATGGTTCCAGGGAAGAGTTTAGGTCACGCCTGTCACACGCACTCAATCTTTCAACTTCATGAGAACTTAAAAGATTGTATAATCTAACATGGTTAGTGGCTCTAACCTCAAAGGAGGTTGAAGTAGCGCTCAATTATTGTCCTCCTGAGAGGAGGTACCCTTATTCATGCCACAGTTTTAAACGTAGTATCTTTGTTATTTTACCTGATGGCTTAATTCCGTATCATCCCCAGGACCTGACGGGATGGTGTAAATCCTGCTGGGGAACCGTGCAGGTAGCAGAAGTATCGTAAGTCCACACGGTCCTAAGTGTGGTGGCCTAACTTTGGTGGCTGATGATTTATAGCCCATTTTATACTGTATCGTTGAATGATAATGTAATCTTTGAAATATTCTCAACCAGTCTAAAATCGAAACTAATATACTCAAGTTATTGTACTGTCCATCGTTTACAGCTTTTTATTTAATCTAAATATATTTATTATAACTGATTCGTCACGATATGGCTGAAATATTGCCGATGTGACGATAAATTTCACTCACTCAAAAAATTGGATAATTAGAAAAGACAACTAAGACTGCCAGTTATGTTGTCAGACTATGCTGTATGCGATAATGGTAATAACATATCTCAGTTTTTAAAGTCTTTGATAGGCATTTAGAAGTTGGGTTGGGAGAACATGAATACATGACCCTTTTTATGGATACCTCTTTTATATTTTGTCCCGATGTTTCAGAGCTAATTCTGAAACACATCATCAAAACACAATAGAAAGAACAGTAACATGCCAGGCATTACAAAGAACATCTGGGTCTATATGCATGACATAATTAAATATTCACCTGATGAAGGATTTTCTATGGCGACATATATATCCAGATACAGCTGCAAAACCAAATGGTTTTTTTTAATTACAGTAGTAAGATATGCATGAGAAAGTAGACTTTAGAGCGTGAGTGAGTGAGTTGGGTTTAACGCCGCTTTTAACAGTATTCCTTTTGTATCACGGCGCGTCAGTTTAATGTGTGAGGAAAGCCCGAAGTGATGCAGGTCTCAGACGTTTACCACTTCGGTGAAACCCATAATCACGGGTATGATGTTGACAAACCTAGAAACATCATCGGGGAGAACCGGAATTCGAACTTAAGAGTATCAGATGTCACAATAATTATTTAGGCTACAATTTGAATTTATTCCAACATATTCCATTTTGAAAGATTTGTTTGTTCCTATTCTTTGCAATCGCTCGTACTGATTAGTGTCATTTGGCAAGACTTCTTCCGAAATACACCCTTATTACTGACGCTATATTCCATAATCCTAATATTACAGTTGGCAGATAAAGTTTCTCTTATTCATATAGGTTGGACAAAGGTGTCAGTCAAATCATGGACTTTTTGAATACACAAGGAGATTATATGAACTCGTTTAAATCTATTTAAAAAATTGAAAACTTTTCAAACATGGTTGGCACTTATTATGTTAGAACAATTTTAAGTGTCAAAAAGGGTTCCCAAGTTTATTGTTTCATGGTGATGTCCAAAGGAATTTCGCTAAACAAATGCGATAAACATTTTGATAAAACTCTAGACTTGGAACAAATATATTTGAAGTCTTTCTTAACAACTCGAGAGACAATGCTGTAGTGGTTGTATGGTTGTAAAGATACTGATTACACTGACAAAGTCTTTGACTTCATCATGTTATATTCTAAATATATCATTTATGAATGCAAGGTGAGAATATTTCTCTTAACCTAAACGATTTCAAACGTGACTTACTCGTTACAGTAATAAAAATGTATTTGTTTTAATCTAAGTACTCACAGCAAGGTTTCTCCTCAATGGATGTTGTAAAATTGTCTTTTCGAGAACCATTGATACAATTCTCATGTACTTAAACATGTACAAACCTTTATACATTATGCATTGTGAGGGGTATATGAGTGCAATGTGAATGTCCTGTGTTAGCCACATCACAATACCATTGTTCGAAAGTAGTTTGTATAAAATAATCAGGTAATGGATGTTCAAGTTTACCTTGGAAAATGATCTCCATA